AAAAGTGTCTGGGAAAATCCTCCCTGCAGACACACCTGTAACTCAGCAGCCACAGAAGCTTCTGTCATCTCTGCTAGCAGGATGACTTTTGGGCTCTGAGCTGGCAGCATTCCCAGGGGGAAAGACCTTGACCTACCCTCGCCATCTCCGTGAGGCTCAGTCCTGAATGTGAGTAGGGAAGCTAGATCACCTTCACCAAGTGGCTTGGCTGCAAGGAAAAGTAGGAAAGAACAACTCCTGTGGCCCTGTAGGAGATCCTCAGGCTCCCTGGGGCCTGCAAAGGAGCCATGCAGAGCGCAGCCCTGGGGCACAGCCCAGGGCCTGGCCCCTTCCCTCTCTGCTCTTCTCCGTGGCTGTACAGAGCACATGGACACACTGGCATTGCACATGGGAAGAAGACTAAGAAGACAGCTAAATGCTCCTTCCTCCCACTGACAGCGATGCTGTGGGATCACTCAGGGCTCCAAAAGGGAGCATAGAATGGTTTCCAGAATCCATCAACCTTCAGATTCTTAAGGGAAATGACACATGAGTGAGCCCTTGTCACAATGACACTGATTATTCTGTGCTGAAGGGGACATTGAGAACTTGCCTCCAGCATCTGGCAAGGTCTTCAAACCACCATTTACCAGCACTTCTAGATAATCCATGTCACGATCCCAATCTAGAAGGAATCTCAGATCATAACTATTTCCATGATCTGCTGGTATCCCCTTTCTTCCTTAGGGAACTGGCCACTGCAAGGGGTTTGGGTAAGGCCATGAGAGCCACATTACAATGGGCATGGCCAAAGCTGCAGAGGGGCCTGGGGAGCTCTGGGCTGGCTCCTGGTCACTCTCAACCCCCTTTCCATGCTCTGTGAAACATCCCTGAAGGGCAGGCACTGCCAAGCAGCAGCGATGGCAGCTCAAGCCTCAGCAGGGCTCAGCCCAGATGTTGCAGTGTGTTTCTTGTTAATGGTGTTTTGTGTTATGGCGGAAGTTGCTGGTTTGGTCCAAATGCTGCCCTCCCACCCCACGTTGTCAATGTACCCTGAGTCTCCTGTCAATCCTGTCTTAGGCCCACCACATGCCTGGAATTCCACTTCAGAAATCCCCTGAACTTCAACACTAGATTAGTCCATGTGACCTCATTTTCTCGTCCACCTCCCTCATTGGATGATGATTTTGTGAACCTTGCGTTTTACCCCACCCCACGGTATCTCTGATTAGCTGATGTTTTGTACCCTCCCTTTGAACTGCCTCCCTATTTCAGCTGTTGCATACTCGCATTTTCTGTCTTTTATCCCCAAGATTCCCCAGAGCAATAAATCCACTATTACCCCATCCAAAAGATCTCCCTCTCATTCTTGCCTCCTCAGAGTAGAGACTGACAGTCAAAAAGCTGTAGAGCAAGTGCTCTAGTGGCACCTCGGGTCTTCCTGCTCCTGGGCTGTGACCCACTCCTGGAGCAGGCCGAAGTGATAGAGCCAGAGAAGCTCCGGCCCAATGTGATACCCAAAGGCACAGCAATTACCTCCTGGGACTGTGCCTGGCATGGCCTCCCTTCCTGCAGCAGAGGCTGCCCATGAGCCACTGCTTCCTCCAGGAAACGCCGCCTTCAGCACAGCTTTTTGATTCTTCTCTGGAGAAAGAACATTGTACAGCTGGATCAGATGGAACCATTCCACAGACTGGAGGTGGTATCTTTTGGGTCAATGCTTGCCAAGGACATGGAAAAGGATCATGAAATCATATTAACTTTTGGGATTGGTCAGGACCCTTCCTTCTCAAAACAGCTGCCATTTCAGGTCAACCCTGAGACTGGGAAATTGCAGTTGTTCCCAGGGTGTGCATGGCCTGTGGTGCACTTGGGGCTCCCTGTCAGCTGATGCCAAATGCCTTCCTGCAGAGGCTGGGGAGAAGCTGCAGCCAGGCCAGGCTGGGAAACAGCCCTGCAGGCCGTGAAAGCAGCAGCGGGGCAGCGAGTCTGCCATGGATCCCTTCCTGCTGTGCCGGGCATGGCGTGTCCAGATGTGCAGAGAAAGCCCCCGGCTGCTGCTTCAGGAGGAGGCTGAAGGACATGAACCCACCTTGTGCTCCCTGCAGCATTTCCTTCAGCATTTGCTGCATGGTATTAGATGGCTCATGGGGTTTCTTGGGTCCAGTAGCTTTGTTCCTTCCTGTTGGAGGACGTTAGAGAAAAATTTCCCAGGAATGGATTCCACAAAACCATTGCTCAGGCTGTGGGGTCAGGAGGGACACACCACTTACCCCTGCGATGGGAGCCGGGCTTGTCTGCAGTAACCAACCCAGGAGCTGGCAAAGCGCTCCCTGCAGACACACCTGTAACTAAACAGCCACAGAAGCCTCTCTCATCTCTGCTGATCTGCATAGGCAGCACTGAGCCGCAGGAGAGGTGAGGGGATCACACAGGCCAAGGGCACACACGTGCACAGCTCTGTCCTGGCACCTGCAGCGATGCTGCCCTGGCCGAGCTCTGGGCTCTGAGCTGGCCGCTCTCCCTGGGGGAAAGGCCTTGACCTACCCTCACCATCTCCCTGAGGCTCAGTCCTGGGTGTGGGTTGTGAAGCAAGATCACCTTCACCAAGTGGCTTGGCTGCAAGGAACAGTAGGACAGAACAGCTCCTGTGGCCCTGTAGGAGATCCTCAGGCTCCCTGGGGCCTGCAAAGGAGCCATGTACGGCACAGCCCTGGGCCTGGCCCCTATCCTCCCTGCTCCTCTCCGTGGCTGCACAAAGCACATGGAAGGAGACACTGGCATTGCACATGGGAAGGAGATTGACAGCTAAATGCTCCTTCCTCCCACTGACAGCAATCCTGTGGGATCACTCCGGGCTCCCAAAGGGAGCATAGAATGGTTTCCAGAATCCATCAACCTTCAAACTCTTAAGGGAAATGGCACATGGCTGTGCTTTTGCACACTGACACTAATTATTTTGTGTGGAAAGGGACATTGAGAACTTGCCTCCAGCATCTGGCAAGGTCTTCAAACCACCATTTACCAGCTTTTTTATATACTCCATGTCACGGTCCCAGTCTAGAAGAGAGCACAGCTCAGAACCATTCCATGGTGTGCTGGGATCCCCTTCTTCCTTAGGGAACTGGGCAATGCAATCCGGTCGGGTAAGGCTGCGGGAGCCACATGTCAATGGACATGGCCAAAGCTGGAGAGGGGCCCAGGGAACTCTGGCTGGCTCCGATCTCTTTCCCCACTCTTTGCAGGCCCTGTGCAACATCCCTGGTCAGGCCTCAACAGGACCAGCCCGGGGCCCCTGGGGACTTTCTCCCTTCCACAGAGGAAGCCTTCCATAAAGCCCTGGGGAAAACCATCCCAAACACTTCTGAGGGAGAAGGGAGCCCCGTCCCGGGAAAGGGGAACCAGGCCGCCTGCTCACCTGCTCTCCATGCTCGCTGTGGAGCAGCCTGGGCAGCCCTGTCAGGCAGGGCCGCTGCCAGGAGGAGCAGGAGGAAGAGGCGCAGAGCAAGGGCCATGATGCCTTGCTCTCTGCCAGTCCTGCAGCTCTTGCTGCCACCACTGTCCTGATGCCGCTGTTCAAATGTCAGCACCACTGTCGCCGCCGCCGCTGCTGTCGCCGCTGCTGCTGCAACAGTCGTAGTCAAGGACTGACTGCTCGGTCCTTGTGGTGTTGTGCAAGAACAGGGCTCTGGGACCTCTGGGACCTCAGAACCAGCTGTCACCTCAGCCTGCTATGACCCCAGTGCCTGCTGTGACCTCGTGGCCAGGGTGGAATTGTGTGGGAAGTGGGATCAGCCTCCTTCAGTAGGCAGCTCATTCTGCCCAGCAGCTCTGTCCAAGGGCTATGACATGGTCCCAGCCCAGCTGATCTCACAGGCTGGGGATGAAGGGATGGAGAGCAGCCCTGCTGGGAAGGACTTGAGGCTGCTGCTAGATGAGAGGCTGGGCATGAGCCAGCCATGTGCCTCCAAAGGAGGGTGCCCAGCAGCTTGAAGGATGAGATTCCATCACCCTTCTGCTCTGCTGCGAGCCCTCCTGGAGTACTGCATCCACCTCTGGGTGCCCAGCACAGGAAGGACATGGTCATGTTGGAGCTAATCCAGAGGAGGGACAAAATGGTCTGAGGGCTAGATCTCCTCTGCTTTGGAGACAGGCTGGGATAGCTGGGGGTGTTCAGCCTGGAAGAAAGAAGGCTCCACAGAGACCTGATTGCTACCTTTCAGAACCTTAAGAAAGCTTGTAAAAAAAACGGGACAGATTTTTTAGTAGGGCCTGTTGTGAAAAGACTCAGGAGTAATGTTTTTAATCTAAAAGATGGTAGATTCAGCCTAGACATAAGAAAGCTGTTTTTTACACTGTGGGTTTTAAAAGCCTGGCACAGGTTGCTCCTGTGGTGGGCATCCATCCCTGCTGACATTCAAGCTCATGCTCTCAGCAACCTGATCTAAAGGTGTCCCTGCTCACTGCAGGGCATTGGACTAGATGGCCTTTAAATGTCCCTTGCAAGCCAAGCCCTTCTGTGCTCATGTGCAAAGCAGTGCTGGAATAATCCTGGGGTGATGATGCTGGTACCTGTGTTTGGATAGTTGTGCCATTTAGCTATTGGCCAAGAGAGGATTGATGGGTTTGACAGTGAAGCCTGCAAAGAATAGTGTGCTCAAGGAGAAACAGGAGAGGAACATGGCTTCCAGTTCATATAAATGCCAGCATTTGGCTGCCCATTCCTTGTTAAGCAGTAAAGGAATGTCCTGAAGATCTCTTCAAAGTGGGTGCACTATTGGCTCTATCAGTACTTGTGTTCTGTCAAACACCTAAGTTGTTACAGCTTCTTGCCTCATTAACCACTGGATAAAACCCAAATACTGCATTGCTCCGTGTCTATTTTCTTCCAAGTAATGGCAGATTTTGTTCATTCTGGAGTGGGACATAATCATCTGATTTTGTTCATTCTGGAGTGGGACATAATCATCTATTGACTAGCAAATTCTCCTTGCCATTCACACTGAAGCATAAACTTTGAAGAATTTGAGATACTAGAAAAGCTAAGGCCTTAATTAAATTTAATTTTTGTTAAATCTAATAAAAAAAACCTTATCCTTGTTAAATTTTATAGAGGCCCTACTAGAATTAGGAGCTAATCATTAGCCAATAACTAATTGTCTTTCAACTTCATGTTTGTTTAGCTGCGCTTTTAATGGGAAACGTGAAATCTTGTAAGGAACTTCAAGAACATAATTGCAAATCAGAAACCACTTGGAAACATGAAACTAGGAACATGCCCAGGGGGAGTGGGTGGTAACTGGGTTATGAATATGTATTTGTATTCAGTATCTCGGTAAATAACAAGTTTGTAATCGCCTGTATTTGGGGCCGTGTGAATTAAGGGGTGACCCTGCACATCAGCCCAGCACTGACAATAAACATACATTTTTCAACCCAAATCAGTTAAAGAGTTTTGGTCCGTTCTAGTTGGATACTGATACAAGATCATATCCATATTTTGGTAAATCATTTTCGCGACTGCGACAGGACTCTGCTCTCTAGAGCCGTGGGGCCAGCAGGGGTCTGGGACCCCCTTGGGCCCACCCAGATATTTCTGGGAGAAGGGGGCTCCTGTGTCATCACTGACACTCTGGAGAAAGACTAGGAACTGCCAGAACTACAGACAAATGTATATTTAAAATTGAAACAGGTACCTCTGAAGTGGTGAAAGGCATATTCAAAGTTAAAAGGCTGTTGGTAAATAGTAAAGAGACGTCTTTACGTGCAACAAATGCCTCTGTGGTTTTGTTTTTATATTTCCACAGAAAAATTGGTTTTAAGAGTTTGAGCTCTTAAGTTAAGGGCAAGAAGTGCAGCATAAGCTGGCAGTGGTTTGTGTTTTAAGTAGTGCCAGGAGCGGCACTGGGGGTTAACAGTTTGTCTTTTGAAGTGAAATGGTGGTGACAAGAGGATTGATGGTTTGTTGTGTTTTGGGCCAGTGGTGGTCCCTGTTTTGTTTAATTTGTGATTAAAAAACGGCTTGATAAGTCACAGTTTGTGGTAATGATTCTAGGTTTGGGGACAGGAAAGGTTCTGGTGAGAGCTATAAAGGTTGATTTTGTGTTTTTAGCTGAGAGGGGCTTGGCAGAGTGATTTATGTTATTAGTGAGAGAGGCTCAGCAGAGGTGATACTCACCAGTAGCAACTGGTGGGCTGTTGGGCTGGTTGTTTTGAAGAGGGAGAGGCTTGGAACCAGGAGAAGCTCGAGTGACAGAGACAGCATTGTGTGTGTGTGTGAGCCCTGAAAGGTGAGCAAAAGTGTGTGTTTGAGACGTGCTATTGGCACGGGGTGAGTGGGGAGTCCCTGTCTACGATTCCACTCCGGACGACCGCGAGCGGCTAGAAAAGGATGGGTTGTATGTTTGATTGTATGAGACCCCATTAATAAAATCTCCCCTTTTCCTTGTGGTTTGTGTTGTGATAAGCGTTTTTGAGGAGACACCGCCATTTATTGACAAGAGTTATAACTGTAGACTGTATGCCTAGAGATCAGGAGGGGCGTTGGAGAGCTAGAGAAAAGGAATTTTTTTGTTTAAAGAAAGGTTGTGGTTGTAGCCCTTTGGATTGTGTTTCACTGTGTAGTTTGTCAAGGATCTTGGCTTCGATGTGTATTTAGGTGGAGGATCCCCAAGCGGGGACTCTGTTGCTTTCGTAGCACAAAAGAGAATAAAGCCATCCAGATAGCAATAAAAATCTTGCTAGTAACTGCTAGAGTGACCCGTGGCAGCAGTGAGATATTTGAGTTACTAGAGAACAGAGTTTCGGGGACCCTAAAGAAACCAATTGACATTCTTAGGGTTGAGTGTGCCCAAGATAATTGGGTACCTGAATATTACGAAGTGAGACTCCAAAATTGGGATAAAGAAACGTTGGGAGAACAAGAATTTCTGGGGTGGGAGCAAATGAGAGTGAAGTAATTCCTAAGTGTAGTCCTTTAGGATGTATTTTAGCACATTGGAAAGAATTAGTGGGATATGGTGGTACAGAAAGCAAGAGGGAGCTTGTTAAGTTCTGTACACAATGGTGGCCACTATATAGGCTGGATGGGGGTGTGAGGTGGCCAGTAAATGGTACGCTGGACTATAAAACCTTATTGCAGTGAATGCTTTTCCTCCGGCATGATCAGAAGTGGATGGAAGTGACTTATGCTGATATGTTTTTCACCCTTTGTGGCCTGCCTGAGTGGCAGAGGGATTGTGGGATTAGACCACTGTCTGATCCCTTGGTATTGGCCCTGGAGAAAGATAACAAAGCTAAAGGGGGAAAGCCTAAATGGTGTTGTAGAACATGCTCAATAAATTAAAGATGTACTCACCCTGATAAAGCATACCAAACAGAGCTTTTGGAACGGGAAACAGCAAGCTTATTAAGACCACCTCTTAGAAGATTAGAAAGAGGAGGGGTGGAAGAGGAAGAAGGCTCAGAACCACCATTGCTTAGCAGTGAGAGTGAGGATGAGGAGCCTGGACCTTCCTCATCAAATACCAAAACTACTAGGTCTCTGCCACCAAGCCCTGTAGCATCCAGGACCCGAAAGCAGGTTAAAGAGGTTATACAAGCACCTCTGAGAGAAGCAAAGACCC